TATATATATATATATATACGAGGCGTTTAAAATCTTAAAAGCCCGCTTACAGTAATTTACAGATCACTTAAAAAAAAAAATGCGTGGTTTTTTTTTTTCGGGGGGAAAAACTACTAAAACAGAAAAACTGGAAATAATTGCCAACGTAATTATACATGCCTATTATACGACCTCGTGTGGATTTATATTTGTCGCGGTCGAGCCTATTTTAATGGAGTAGGCGGCGACCCTATTAATTAATAGCGCCACGGACACCATGCAGGGTTTCTCGACAGTAGTTAAGTTGTTTTGAAGAAAAAAGGCATGCTGTCGGGTTGGAATTTGAACAAATTGGTGAGGCAGCCCACGTTAGGGTGTCAAAACAGGAAACAAAAAAATAAAAGATAAAATAAAAATAAAAACATGGCCACCATGATGGTTATTCAAACAATTCAGCTAATTCAAATAATGCTATTTCAACGCAAAGATGCTGAACACGGATGTACTTCTAAGTCTGGACAAACATGTGAAAACGCTTCTACGTTTCCACGTTAACACGAGGCTAGTCAGCGGCTAGTCAGTGCAGAGCAGTAGTTATTCAAAGTGATCGCCATATTTCGTTTAATTTCGGTGTATAGAACAGAAAGGCCTGGGAAAACGTTGTTGCCGCCTATTGTTTCTTTACGGACACATGCGAAGATGAGACAGATCTTATCGTATCATTTGTACTGGGTTATTAGTCAAAAGTCCTATAAAAGGGTATAAACATGCGTACGAAAACATCACGGGCATCCATTTTGAAAATACTTGACAAGGCAGTGCTTGTAAGCCCAAACAGAGATGAAGTACGCAATGATGAAGTACGAGTGTCTGTTCACTTACCCAGACGCTAATTAGACACTAATTAATTAGACACTGGCTTAATATTAGACGAACTTTGGCGTACAATGACGAACAAGATTCGTGGTTCCCATACAGAGCGGGAAGTAGACCACTTTAGCGCGCAATGACGAACAAGACTCATGGCTCCCATACAGAGCGGGAACTAGACCACTTTGGCGCACAATGACGAACAAGACTCAATTGCAATGGCCTAAAATAGTGTCTTTGATTTCGACGAACTGAAAGTCGTCTGATGATGATGATGAAGAAGCACAAACTGTTTGCCATCTTTTCCGCATACAGTGATTAGGAGAAATTGTTAAATAATCGTACTAAAACAAAACATTATTTCAAAGTTGTGGACCAAGTAATTGCTATAAATTTGTTAGAAACCGTTCATTATTTAACTGGGGGATGGGGCTGGGTGAGAAAAGGAGGGGCCTCGAAAATTTTCATGTACAAAAGGAGGGGCCCTGAAAGTTTCTTATTGATTTAAGGGAGGGGACTTGAAATTCCAGGTGAAGGACTAAAGATAGTGAAGGGGGGTCTGAAAAATATCACTTTCTTTGTTGGGGGGCCCCTAAAAAATGGGCGCCTCCCCCAGTTAAATAATGAACGGTCCCTTATACCTCAAAATCATATCCGTAGTGACTAACAAAGTGTCAGCAGTACACTAAATTTAGGTGGCTTCAGGCCTGCGGCCAGGATCGGGTGTTTTAGTTCATTTGATCAATTTAACAGAAATCGATTATGTAAGTATTTATCATTTTAGAAAGTTCAGTATATATTACTTAAGTTAGAGGCAGTCAAAGATCGCTGTTTCTGACAGGGGATATGCCTAAAGGTTGCCGAAAACGTCCTGCAACATTTAATAAACATACAGTGTCTGGTGAATACAATACAAATACACTTACTCTAGATCAAAATACTAATAGACTGGACAGAAGTATTTAGACTAAAAAAATAAAAAAAAACCCAATATCTACATCACCTTGTATGTTATATTTCTCGTAAAACATAACTCGCCCTTTGTATATATATTAGTTATATTGAAGATGTTTCTTGAACGACTGTCCTTCAGAAATTTAGCTTTCCTTCTTACATATGGCGTGCGTTTTAGGGTGCTTGTTCCGTGGTACTAACCGTACTTTATGTCCCTCAATCTATATTGCACGTACGTTATTACGCAATACAAAGAGTTTTTTCATTGGTCCACGATCCCGTACTTGGCATGGTATATATTTCTTACTGGTAAATCCTACGCAAGTTTGTTGAGTTTTAGTGTAAGCAAATAAAAGCCCATTATAAGAGTACAATTTATGTTTACTTCTACTTAAGAATTTTATTTCTTCAATGGGAATCAGTCAAAGCTGTTTGACTAAAAAGAACGGAAACTTAAAAGTCTTTGACCGCGCATACAATGTGGATGATGTATGTTGTCCTCACGATAGTTTAAAGATTGAGGTTTTATACACCCCATTGCAAAACATTTGTAAGGTAAGACCAAAATGGAAGATGGGAAGTACATTAATCAGATGCATGTGTCGACCCGTGGAATAGAGAGTACGGACCTTTATACGCACACGGCGGCCATGTTAAAATGCTAAAATTTTTGAATTAGGTGTCAAAGGCACTTTAACTGACTCGGGTGCGAGATACAAGTCATTGGAACGATGTAGCCCAAACACCAGAAGATTTCTGGCTACAAACTGGAGAAACTCCGCACAGTTTACTTCGTGTAGTGAATACAGTGTACATCGATATTAATAGAAGACTTCGAAATCCGTGGAGAGTCAGGAACCGGATCAGACAGACCCGGCCGAACAATCTTTGTATTCACGATAGGGTATTGATGGTATTTATATGGCTTAGACAATATCCTACACTGGAAGTGTAGGAGCGAGAAGAGAAAATTAAAAAGATAAGGGTTATTGCATGTATCCCTAGGCGGCGAAGGCCGCAGTAATTCAAAGTAAATTTGTTTGTGCCTTTAGATCTCTCGTTTTGTTGCTGAAAACTAAAAAAAACAACTACGAGTACTTACAACAACAACGTCAAATACACGAACACCGCAAAACATAAACAACTTTATACAACCCAGTACAACACAGTACACTCACTGTAACTCATCCAAACTCAACGCAGGTTACAAAATACTTTCCCTAAAAATATCGATTAGCTTTAACAAGTTTTGTTCGTGACGCAGTTCTGATACATTTTCTTTCGTTATTTGATTTCTTTTCTGCAGGGTTAATATTAACTGAAAGTATGATTTAGCTAATAGTACGATCAAACTCCGTAACAGCCTTTTAGACCATATCTTCTGGAAAGGTAAATAGAATGGATTCAATTATGTATCGAGTCTTTCATACCTTTTTTTTTATATTAGTGAGATTGTGTTCCTTAAGTTCGTTCCAAGGACATTCAGCAGCACTTGTCGAATGGAAATATAGTGAAGTAAGATGGAAAGTTTACCGATCGACTCGAACCCTAAGGTGATAAAAATGAACTAGCACTAAAGTGATTAATTCTGTACCTTACAATCTTAACTACAGACGAGCTGACGACGGAGGAGGTTTTATCAAAATATATTTACATTGAAAGTTTGTTTGCTCTGCCTTATATTTAAGTACGCAAGTTCTTTTATCAATGGATAGAAGTATTCAACTAGGATTCCCATCAAACAAACAAAGTGCTGTGACGGTAATGACATTTTGATTGTTACATATGATAAGGGGAACAAATTTTCCCCAAGCATTTATGAATAATCATATATGGTGTTATTATTGTCACTGCGATTTTCAATATTTTGCGAATTCAGAATATTTCAATAGGCAATGTGCACGAGCACGAATCTCTAGCACAAAGCATGATGGGAAACAGAGTACTACACCAATTAGAACAAAGAAATCAATAGAATTATCAGGGGGGAAAATACTTTTATTTTCGCTGTTGAAACCGTAAGTACTCGGTTTTCCATCATGCTTTGTGCTAGGGATTCGTGCCCGTGCACATTGGCTATTAGCAACATTTCAGTCAAAAATATCAAAGGCACCCACTGATGACCTTTAGTTATGGGTATAGGGTATTAAGATGTATCAAGGACTACCAAGGCACACAGAATAAAATAGTAAAAGAAACGAACAAACATCTTTTTTGTTTAAAAAATTTAGTGGGAGGGGGATTGTCCCTACCCTCCCTACCCTAGCGTGTGGGCAACAAGAATGTCAGGAATAATTGACTGATAAAAATTTGACAGTTCTTTCATATTTTGCTGTCAGTCTATGCAAGAATAAAACTGATTATGACTAAGAAATTTGACACGGCACCAATTAAAAAGACGGCAACTAAAATTCTAAGAAGGAGGTTACCTGTAACCAATGGTTCAATCCTAAACCCACGGTAAAAAGATAAATAAATAAACTTTATTGAAAGAGGATAACACGTGGCAGACCAAACTAAATTTTTAAAGTAGTGTCAAAATTTAGACTCATTTAATATATAAAAAAAGGTTTTATGAAGTGTGGTGTTTTTATCGTATTTGATGTAAATAATTAATTATAACATAGGCAAGATATAACGCGTGCTCTGATTGGCTAATTTGCTATGTGAAAAAAATGGATATCCCATGGAGATATCAAATAGAAAATGTTTTTACGGAAACGAAACGTTTTTACGGAAACGAGCAGAGTTTGGCACACTACAATACGAGGAATTCGACCGAACAACTGCACCACTGTTCTGAAGTGCTGTCCCAAAGTCTTAACAAGCGATTGTCCCGGCTACTGTTCATCTGAACACAGCTGTTAAAAACAACAATGTGGTTGTAGAAGTTGCAAGACAAGATCCGGCGAGCCAGTTTGGCTCCATCTTTAGCAACTGCACAGTTCAAAACGTTCAACTGGACGAGAAGTGATCGCTGATCTATCGCAGCGGGTGTATACCATGAACATAACCTCTGTGATTCATCTTCTTTTAGACTCTCATTTCTCCGCGAAGGCTTTTAAATGACTTTTTTGATTATCGCGGTATTTTTCTTTTAGAAGAGGTGCTGTAAAACATACTTTGAACTTTCTTGATAGTCAACGGTAAATGTAAATTTCCTTAGTGTGCGCGCRCACATTTAAGAGAGTTTTGACATGTGTTCGTACGAATAAAAAATTTTTCAGAGAATTAAAGTCGTTACCTATGTTATAAAAGCAATGGTCCATAATTAGCGTGCATATATCCAGTTCTGGAAGCACTCTAGCAGCTAGAGATACTCTCGGCTACGGCTCGAGCATCTCTTACGCTGCTCTCGTGCTTCCAGAACTGGATATATGCACGCTCATTATGGACCATTCCTTAAAAAGCCTCAATTCTTTAGAAAATATATCGTTGAAATTGTATTGTTCACTTGATCGAATTTCGGATACCATTTGCTAACCAAGCCACATTCTAAATGAGCACCAAAAAAACACAAAACCTTTAAATCACATCTTATTAAGGATCTCTTAGGGATCTCTTAGGGATATCTTAGGGATCTCTTAGGAATGTCTTCCTGTTCAACATAAAACAAAAATAATCTGAAAAAAATGTAGTTTAATCTTCTCCTACTATCCAGTAAGCTATTTGTATCGCGTTGCCTATACCAATCGCCGATACATTGTCATAGCATATTAACTCCGCGTTCATTTGTTGATCTAAACCATGGCATAGATATATTCAACTTCTGGCTTTGAAACACAAGCAGTTGTTTTGCAACACTTTAGGATATATGTGCATATTATATTTATCAGAAAATTGGTTATGTTATGAATCCCATCTTTTGTTGTTCACTAAATATATTATATCAGCTTTTATATATTCATATTACCCATTTTTTTTACCTTAAAATGAACCACTATTTTAAAAGTATTTTAGTACATATTAAACTGGTTATCGAGTAACCTCGTGAATCGAAAAAACGAGAACGAAGGATTTCAAAAAAGCAACCCTTTTTTTTTGACAGATGTAACTTAATCTCAGGTTATACTTTCATTCTTACCTTGAAGAGGAGAAGGAGGAAGGCCTTGTTAGAGAGACAATTTTCCAGATGCTTTATAAACGACTATTTATCTTTGCTGTTGATTTGCCTGTAATTATCCAAAGTATTGAAGTGGTTAGGGAGCACGCAACTAAGAGTTTACTAAAAGGATACCATAATAAAAATACCAGCAACTTAAATGTTCCGAATACAAAAAGCCAATGAATTGTAAACCGCGCAGCAAACTTTGAAATCGGAAGGAGAAAAATTAGGTGGTGATGAGAAAATGATTAAGGAAATAAAAAACGTGTCATGGCGTCGTGCGAAGTGTGTCAGCCGTCCAATACAGTTTCAGACATACTGGCTAAAACCAAATTGTTATCCTGTCTTGTTCAATTAAATTGATCAGTTAAGATAATAAATATACATACATACATACATATATAAATCCGATCACAACAACGGCTGATATTACGGCTGGTTATAGTGGTCTGGTAAGTTTGCTAATGTATTACTTAAAGTGCTTATAAGCTTTTACACAATATTTTCAGAATTGATTCTTTCAATAGTGAATAGTTGTTTGTGAAAATAATTCGTCATTTGAATGTCGGGTCTTTGAGATACGAGGGTTTATATTTCCAATATGTTAATGACTATGACGTAGCATAAGGGATTTGAGTTATTTTGTGGCAACTTTTARTATTGAACGCTGGACATTTTTTGAAAACAAATTTGTAAGAACCTTTACGTGAGTCACGAGTAATCTAGTAGGATCTAGTAGGAAAAATCAAAATATGCCGTATCAATGAATGCATAGAAAATATCTGAAGTAGTAAAGGGCTCACGACTGCCCTCTATTATTACTCCATAGCCGGATGTTTCTGCATTGACAGCAAAGCGAACATGAGTAGATCACGTGACTTTTCAGTAAGATAATTCGAGGCGTGCAAAGCATGCTAGGTAAACATCCTATTTTGACTGCTTTGGGAGTAATCTTATTATTTTAATTATTCCAATTTGTATTTCCCTAAAGCATAATTCTTTTGTTTTCTAGTAACCCTTGAAAAGTTATATTATATTATTATATGGTTAAAAAAGCTCTGGCGCCCAGGGTTACTTCTTGTAATAGAATACTGGGCGATCAATGTGCCAAAGAATTCTTCAATAATTAAACTTAGATTTGTCAAAATGTCCCGAGCTATCTATTCCTTATTATATTCTGTTGTCTGGTCTGACGTATCAAGCCTGAAAGCAGCTGTATGAATCGAATGACAAAGATAATACAACCATCGTTTGAAGGATTTAATTAATGACAGAAAGATTTAGATACGATTAAGTTGAAAGACAATAATGCCACTAGCAAAAAAAAGAGAGATGATTTACCGATTTCCTGTTACTGAGATGTATCATGAAGATTTTTCTTTATAGCAAAAGCACAAAAACACAAGCACAAAATAAAAACTTTGAAAAAAACTGAAGTTAAACCAGGCTCAATTAATTAGTTGCAAATATTTTCAATAATTGTTGTACATGAATTTTTTTTAGACCGAATCACGTATTTTTTATTTAGACATACATTGTACATCCTCTGGCAAAATTCAATAAACTGGGTGTGAATTTGAATACAAGCCGAATACTTACAATAGCTCATATTTCAACTTACCGACAGCACTTTTTTTGTATCAGTGGGAAACATAAGGTACTACCTTAAACCACGAACACGATGCACGCCCCGGTTACTCTGGAATGGTTTTCCTTTTTTTTTTCTTCAAGCAAATCATCCAATCACAGCACCGATATAGCTATATATTTACGGTTACGGTAAGATATACAGCACGACTATAGTGAGAATACGAATTTCCCACTCATACGAAGACTGCTCTATGAATTAATAACATACCCTAGTTTTCTGTAGACGAACCACTTGCATTTTTAAACGATATCAAAAACTCGGTCCTGGAGAATTCCTTGTCCTCATTATTCTACGCAGAAGACATGAATCACAATAAAAAATAGAGCTTAATCATTCCTAAGTAAATAAGAAATATTTAGTGGCCACACAACACTAAGAATGTCAGCAAATATTTACATTATGGTTGAAAAAAGATTATCTTCAGACTTCCATGGCAGATGTGAGAATGATTCGTAAAGACGAGGTGAGATTAAAGGATAAATTTGTAAGGAAAATATTATTCAAAACTATGGAAAAAAGATAAAAAAAGGAAATGAAATATATGGGATTATGGCAAATTTATTTAAAAATAACTGGTCTGTAATGAAAAAGAAAGAAGAAATAAATGCGATATAAATCTATCTAATTGAAAATTGGAACACAAATGTAACAAAATTGAAATTCATGAAATTCATGGACAGTGTTCTTATTCGCAGCCTATTGAAAAACTTGAAAGACGATGTAAGCTCAAATTATTTATAGACTAAAGTTGGTTGATATAAGAAGGGAAAAATGAAGAAAAATATCGTATTTGTAAAACACTTGTAAGAAATAACATGAAATAATAACGTTTTTGTGTTTTGTCGAGTCCATTTTCAGACTGGGTGGACCTCTCGTTTTCCAAATTTTATGTTTTTCGTCCCTTCAATCATGCGAGGAGGCGGTGCTTATGCAAACCAGCGAATAGAAAGACACGTTGTCCCGGCTGCTGTATATATTGTGTATAAGGTTCCAGAGTGAAAAAAGCATAGAATGACTCGATCGACAATAGTCGGAAGAGTTGTTAACGTGTCGAGAGAAAAGGATCGATGGAGAAAAATGAATCGTTTTTGAATTTCTCAAAGGGAAAGAAATCTTCGTTAAAATACTAAAAAAATACTTCAAATTAAAAATAAACCAGTCGATCGAACATCAAAGAGAAATATAGTAGGAATATCGAATCATAACTAATAGAATAAACGAGGATAATATAGATATAGTCAGTATATGCTAGACTGTTCTCATAGCTACTAGACAAGGCTATTGTAAAATCCAGATTAACTCAAATACAGCTGCTTTACCGCCGGTTTCATAATAGTTTCTCTTCGTCCAGCCGGTCTGATATTCAATGGATTCGTCGTCTTGAAGAGTTTTTTCAACTTTTTGAAGAAATTCCTTCTCAAAAAGTGGAGAACATTAGCAGTATTTCATACCATCCACCATTCATTTGACTTTACTGTAAAAAAAAATTTTAACTGAAAATATTTAAAAATTGATAAGATCGTTTCCTGTGGTTTTATCGGGAACATAATTTTCCGTAAAAACGCGCGCGCTGCTCCAGCCTCATTCAGGCCCCGTCAACACTACGCCGGATAAATTTGAATCCGAATTTCTATTTAYTCTGTTAGGCCTACCGTCCACACTAGTCCGGGCGAATCCGAAAAAATCTTTCACCGAAAACGTTTTCATTCGAATACGGTCTCCAGAGTGAAACAATTTGAAAACGCCGCCTAGCTGTATTAGTGTGGACGGAGAACATTTCGTATCCGAAAGTTTTGGAATACGATGACGTCATGATGTTCATGGGAACATGGTGGGTAGGCTAAAAATTCACCGCAGGCTTGATTTCAGCTTCCATACACATGTGATGTGCAATGAAGATCCAGTTCAGTCCACCAAATTATTAATTAATACAATCCTACTTAATCCTTTAGAATATTTAGAATAGATAGGCTATCTGTTACTGAAACTGCTATTATTGGCATAAACCCATGTTTGAAAGTGAACACCAGAATACTCTTGAATTATGAATTTTTCTTCTTTTTTCCTTCTTTTTCTCTGAATCTTTTGACTAATTTAATCTTTCTCCGTTTGTAGACATTTTTCAGAAGTTATCTGAGGAACAATAGTAGGAGCCTTTCGGGCTTTTCTGGCTTTTCATCGCGGAAAATCTTACACGGATTTTTTCATTTCATTCATTCATTCATCCTTTTGTGTGCCCAGTGCCATATATTCTCTTTTAGTGAAAGATTTTGTTCCTCTTGTTGTCTTTCTTTCTTTCTTTTTATTATTATTTTTTTTATCGTGTTAATTTCAATTATTTCTTAGTTCCGGTTCATTCGTTCGTTTGTTGCTTATTTTCTTTTGTGTGTGTATTTTTCCATCAGTTATTTGAGCCCCCCCCCCCCCCCCCCCCACCTCTCATCAGATATTTCATTCCTTTCTCTCTTCCATCTGTCTTTCTTTCAGGTATCTCTTGTTTTTATTTTCGCTATGAAAAAGGTTTTTTCAAGAACAAGTACATGAGTTACTCGCAAGTACTTACCTCAGGAGGGCTTAAACCCTATTGCGATAATTAGGTACGCTAAACAAATCACTAACATTCTAGGGGAAAAATACTTCAAAACGTCCTCAAAACAAAAACAGTAGAGCTTGAAATTTTTTTAAAGGTGATTACTAAAATTAATGCTCTCATGTACACACCTGCCAAGTACAAACTTGGCTGAAAAGCAACGTTTGAAAATAAAATAATGTCGTTTCCTCGTCCTCACACTTATAGCAGTCGAGCTGAGCCTTTTAGCGGCCGTTTACTGACTAAAACCGTGGGAACTCTATTTCTACTTTCATGCTTCGTTTTTCTTACCTCTTGATTTTATATAAGTAGAAAAACTCACCCGTCCAGCAAGTATATGCACTTGACCTCGATAGAGGTAGATTTATCAATTTATTGTCTTTCAAGCTATAAGCTTTTCAAATGACCATATTTGTTTTTCTTTTATGAATTTTGTTGCTGGATATGTAACGAAAACACTGGTCATGCAGGATACTCGCTTCGTGATTTTTTTTTAGTTTGTTGTATTTCACATTAATGTAAATTATCTGATAAGAGTTAGAAATTTATATTATAATATTTATCTTAGTATTTAGACTTTTACCTTTCTTTTTGTTTCCACGCAGCCTTCAGAGTATTTTTGATGGGATACTAGATATACAAATTGACAGTTTTCGACTTCATTATCCGGTACGAGAATAAAGCGGCGTGWAGGTAAGAAAGGAGTTTAACAGCTGTTTTTATTAAATGTACACAAACGGCTTGGAAACAGCGGGAATCATACACCAATGAAACATTGAGAGCTTATCTGTAAAAAACAAAGGCTTACGAGGTTCTCAACAGAATTGCTTGATAAGATGTGTGAAGTGCCATTGTCATGGCAACTAATCTTGTTTGATGTAACAATGTTATTGATGCTACCATAAAAGCAATCAGTATTGGAGCCAGTTTTGAATTTTTTTTTCTTTTCTTTTTCTTTATTTCTTTCTTTCTTTCTTCCTTCCTTCCTT